GCCTAAGATTATGCACTTCTGATTTACAACAAGAATACTGGATGAGGTTTAATTTCCATAAAAATCTATGATGTACTGAAACTCACACTCTCATAGATGAATGCCGAGAGCAATTTCTTGCTTCATAAACAGATCCCAGTGTTCAGCAGATATCCAAACTTTCAGATCTGTACTAGCGCAAAACACTCACCCCTGCTATAGTTTATTTTTTAACAGAAAATCTCCAAATAATCTTATAGTATATTCATTCTCTCTTACCATGAAAAGGCTGGTTTCTCTGAACTAGCATTTTCAGTAGAAAGGGGACACAAAGGCTTGCGCACCAGACTTGAAAACTAACAGCTAAGTGCAGAAACTACCCCACATTAAGAAATAAATATGAAGAGAGATATAAATGAAAAATTGGTCTGTAATGTTGGGTTTATGATAATTAGTCACACATGGAAAAGGAGTTGCTTGGCTGTAACCACTGAGTGATAGGAATATAAATATTGGCCCTAATATAAGCAGTAGTGCGTTCAGATGTACATTGTTACATGATTCCCTTTCCGCCTCCCCAGCTCTTCTCCCAAAGGCAACATGATCTTGGCCACTGACTACAATGTTCAGTGATGCCTGGAAATGTTGACTGGCTAGTTAATGACTCACGAAGGGAGGATGCAGTAGAAGTCCCACGGAGAAAATGTTGTAAACCATCTTCACCATCACTTGAACTAGCCATGCTATTTCTCATTTGCATCACAGACAGCTGAGAACACAGGCTGGGCTGGCGATCTATTTTTTGGGATGTCTGTGCAGAAAAAAAATTACACTGAATTCTCCATCAGTCATAGACACTAATAGATATTCATCTCTTTATATTTATATCCTGCCAACATTTCTTCCAAGTTGTTCAGAGCATGTCTCCTCAGCTACCATTTTATCGCAACCACCCCAGGAGAGGTAGAATAGGATGGAAGAATATCTGCTAATTATAAGAAGAAGAAGAAAAAAAGAGCTGTGTAGCAATTTACATATAACAGGGTGGAAACTTGTGGGTCTCCAACTGAACTACAGCTGACAGCTTCCCTCACTACTGGTTATGCTCAGCAAAAACTAGAAAGATAGATATCGATGCTCTGCATCAGAGGTGAAAAAACTAGCTTTATTCATAAAGGCTCCTTTGCCTGATTAGGAGGCTTACAACCGCGAGAAAGAGCTTAGAGGAATAAGGTGTTTCTCCCAATGGACCTTATGCTCCTCTCCTGATATGGAAGAGATCAGTAAAAATCAGGACACATTAATTTGTATAGATGTATGTGTTTATTAATAGTAATTCGTAATTCAAGAGTCCTGGGCATCAATCAATCAATCTATGCTTGGAAGGGTTTTTTTTTTTTTTAAATGAAGATGTAGCTTTCAGCAAACCCAACAGTTCCCATTCCCTACTGTGATCTTAGGTTGTGTGCAGAATTATTTTCAGATCAAACCAATTTAATGGATGAATAACAAGCTATTGACTTGTTTATCTAGCAAGCAGTAAATGAAGCATAGAGTAGATCATCGCCATCTTTCATTCCACCAGGAGGTACCCCAGAATTTGATGAATGAAAGAAAATTCAAGCACTATCAAGACAGCCTGATTAGCTGATGGCATTTCTATTACTAATTCATGCCTTTACTTCAAGCAGAGCTATTATAACTGGCTGCAAAAATCAGGATGATCAGGTGAGAGCAGAGAGTTGGAACTTTAGTTTTCTTTTTGCAGACATTAAGTGACTGTCTGGATTTCTGCAACCTAGATTTGGTACCCCTAATCAAGTCCACATGCAGGCACAATAAGCAGCAAACCTGGAAATTGTTTCCCACAATGCTGCTAGTAGTTCTGTTACCAATCAGCCAGGACAGGTTCCTGGAAACTAGGACATATTGCTCATTTTGGGGCTTGTGCCCAGTAGCTAAGATGCTTCACAAACCAGGACTGTCTGAACAAACCCTATGCCTGGACACACCTGGTCCCACTATCATTTAATTGAATGGATCCTTTCACATGGACTAATGCCTGTGGAGGTTGAAATATTTACAAAAGCCTGCAATGGAGCCTGTATAATTGATGGCCTTGTTCCCAAGTTTTTATGCCTGGAATGTACTAAAGATGAAATGGTAGATTACTTGCATTCTAATAAAGTAAGCAGTTGATAATTGGACAGAATAAAAAAGGAAAAGGAAAAGACAGAAAAGAATAAGTATATATACAAGAAAAGCAAGATAGACCGCTAGCCCTTATGGCAATCATTCTGAAATTACTGTAAGTACCTGGAGGAATTTTATTGAAGTATCTCTAAATACAAAAAATGTATTTCCCATACTAGCTGATCATACAAAGTTATTGTTAAAGCTTTAATTGTTCATAATAACTGATCTTTTGAGTAAATTATTGATTATCTGGACCCCTATCAGTCAGGATTCAGGCCTGGTTATGGGACAGAAACAGCATTGG